GGATGAAAAGGTGAATCTTATAAAACCTTTTAACTCTAGAAGTTTCATTTAAGGATTCACTTAAATCTTTTAGTATATGTTATCTTATACCTGTGAGTACATAATAAATATCATTTGATAGTAGTATTGAAATTAATATCTGTTCTTTATCAGACTTTAAAATTACTTTAAGATGCATAGAAATGAAAGTACTCAGTTATTTTCAATAGTATCTGAGGTTGAATAGAACCTGACATTTAAATTATTATGCTGAATATTGCTAGATACAGTCCTGTGGACTTCCTACCATAATTATTTGTTAGGATTTGCCGAGGACTGCTTATACCTGAAGGTAACATACTTGAGTGGTAACTTCTAGTCAACATTAAAAAGGAATTTATGATCTTTATAAAACTTAATTGAGAACCAAGCATTGTTAAAGTTCTGTGTGGATTTATATCCTACCCTATTACTACTTTTTAAAAAGCTTGTTGAAAACTGAAACATACACAAAAATAGAGGAAATTATATGAAGAGAGTTGTATGAAGCTGGGTAAACTGCGTATCACCTGTGAATTATCAACTCGTGACCAACTTTGTTTTCTCTATATTCCTCTCCCTAATTCTTGGATTATTTTGAAACAAACCCAAAATATCATTTCATTTCATCCATAAGTATTTCAATTATGTATCTTTGAAAGATAAGTATCTTTAAAAACATAATTCTAATACCATTTATAGTTTCAAATAGCTAGTCAGTGTTCAAATTTTCCTACTTCTCAAAATTCTTTTCATAGTGTGTTTGTTGAAATAGGTTCTAAATATAACTATATATTACAATTGGTTGATATATTTCAAGGGTTTCTTGATATATTGTTCTCCATTCTCATTTTTCCCCTTTCAAAATATTTATTGAAGAAATTAAATTATCTTTGTAGTGCTTCTCACATTCTGGATTTTGCCAGCTTCATACACATGCTTATTAGCAGGTTTCCTTTTGTCTGTATTTTCTATAAATGTATAGTTAGATTTAAAGGCTTGATCAGGTTTAAGTTTTCCTTAGAAATCATATATCTGATTGTCTCTTTTTATGATATTAGCAGCCATTTGATGATCATTGCCTAGATTTATCTCATTGTGGGTTGCAAGTCATGATATTCTAATTCTAAACTTCCTTATTCATTTTTTAAAGGAATATTTCTGTAAAGCCATATTTCTCCATAATAATTATTTGGTAATTCTGAAGGACAGTTCTTACAAGGATAGGCAAGATAAATTCTAGGTTCTTTTCCTTTATCTGGTAGCTTTTGAAATAATGAATTGAAAATCTAGCATCTTCCAAGTGTTTTATAAGCACATGGTTTTATATGTGTTTGAAGTATTACATTTTTTATCTTTTTAAAACTTTATTTATTGGCTGTGCTGAGTCTTTGTTACTGAGTGGGCTTTCTCTAGTTGTGAGTGGGCACTGCTCTTCATTGTGCTATGTGAGCTTCTCGTTGTGGTGGCTTCTCTTTTGAAGCACAGGATCTAGGACTCATGGGCTTCAGTAGCTGTTGCTCCCAGGCTGTAGAGCACAGGCTCATAGTTGTGGCTTATGGGCTTAGTTCCTCTGTGGCCTGTGGGATCCTCCTGGATCAGGGATTAAACCCGTTTCTCCTACGTTGGGAGAAGGGTCCTTTACCACTGAGACACCAGGGAAGCCCCAAGTTTTTTGCTTTTAAAAATTTTCATTGGTATTCATTTTGTTCTTTTATAGGAACTTCCTCAAATCCTTTTGATTCTTTGAGTAGTTGTTGATGGTTTTCTTACTTCATGTTATGATGGGATATTCATGTTGCACTTTTTCTGTTCCAGATTTGCAAATTGCCATTTCTCTACGGAGCCCTAGTTTCTTTTAGTAGGAAATGGTACTTAGAAATTATAGTCTAGGTGTTCCTTGTAGCAAGGTGTTCCTTGCTACACCTCTGGTCAAAGGCTGATTGGTCATGATTTCCAAGCCTTTTTAGTGGGTAGAGCTAGAAAATAAAATATCCTTTTTAAAGAAAATATATGAGTTTGTTCCAGGAATGTTCCAGAATAGTTCCACTGTATACTGATACATTTAGGACTGTAGAGTTTTTGTTTCTTCAATTTTGCATATATATTTACCTTTCCAGCAGGCTGAAAACTGTGCTTCCTAATGATACCAACGTAATTACTCATTTGTTTTATCCAACAGTATATATAGAATTGGGCTTCCCAGGTAATGCTAGTGGTAAAGAACCCGCCTGCCAATGTAGGAGATGTAAGAATCTCAGGTTTGATCCATGAGTTGGGAAGATCCCCTGGAGGAGGGCATGGCAACCCACTCTGGTATTCTTGTCTAGAGAATCCCATGGACAGAGGAGCCTGGAGGGCTACGGTCCATAGGGTCGCAGAGCCGGACATGACTGAAGTGACTTGGCACACACATACATTGAGTGCTGTCAGAACTAACAATATTATTACTACAAACACATAGGATTTCTTTTTCTTTTTCTTAAGGTGTTTCCCTTGTGGGATGAATGGATAAATTGCTATGTTTTAAAGTCACTTGAAATAATTTCCTCTTTTGTAGATTTGCCTCTAGTTTGATACATAGTTAAGTTCGTTTATTTCATTTGCTTTTGATATTTAAGGGTTGCTGTTTTTAGGTATAACAGTGTTTTACAACTATGTTAAGTGGTTACATGGTTCCAAAGTCAACTCTATGAAAAAGAAGATAATTCAGAGAAATTTAACTTCTGACTTGATCCCCTTCCTCTCTATCTACTCCTGTTAGTCATCATTTTAAAAAGTTTTAGTTTATATTTATCCATCTATCTGTCCTTCATCTTAGATAAGCGATTGCATACTGTACATAGTTTTCTCCACCTTACTGTTTTTACCTTACATATACCCTGTAGATCATGCTATAGTACACATTCTCAATGGAGAATATCACCTCAGGGAGGGGAAATTGGTTCTTAAAGGGTGAAAAAAAAGTCTTGAATTTTACAATGGTTTGTTGTGCTCCAAAGGCCATGGTACCTAAACGGATATACAGTATATCTGTGATATTAAAATTTCATGGGGGATGATTAGGAATAAAAATGTCTAAAAGGATGTTTTGGGGAGGCAATAATAACAAAAAGGTTGAGAAACTACTCTGTAGCAGTATATAGTATATTAATTGCAGGTTAATAGGGTCTTGCACGGAGAAGGCAATGGCAACCCACTCCACTACTCTTGCTTGGAAAATCCCATGGACGGAGGAGCCTGGTAGTCTGCAGTCCATGGGGTCGCATGACTGAGCGACTTCACTTTTACTTTTCACTTTCATGCATTGGGGGAGGAAATGGCAACCCACTCCAGTGTTCTTGCCTGGAGAATCCCAGGGACGGTGGAGCCTGGTAGGCTGCTGTCTATGGGGTTGCACAGAGTCGGACACAACTGAAGTGACTTAGCAGCAGCAGGGTCTTGCAGATTGTATTTTGCAGATATATAGGGTCTGTTATGATATAACTAGCCTTCTGTTCATCAGCATTTAGGTTGTTTCCATTCCTTTGCCATTATCAACAGTGCTGCGATGAATGTACATTCTTTTGTATTTTTACCTATATATTTTTGAGACAGATTCTGAAAGTGAGATTCTTAGGTCAAAGGCTAATTGCCTATGTAATTTTGCAGTACACTATCAAATTCCTTTTATGGTAGTATTTTAGTTGATATTAGTGGATATGTTCTAAATTAGTTCATTATGAGATGTCACCATTTATGAGAACCTTATTAGACTTCTAATTATCTGTAAGAAATATAATTTTCATATTATAAAATGCAAATTTATATTATTTCACTTATAATACTTTTTCAAATTATCACTATACTACTTACCGTATGTTGTTCATAAATGAAAAGCAATGGATCTGTCTAAAAGGCTACATGCTTTAGACTAATTTTTTTAAATGTGCTGTATCTATCTGGTCAGAGTCAGGACAGTTGCTATTGTTGAGTTTGTTTTTCAAGTAAATGTAGCATAAGATTTTAAAATGTTTTTTATTTAATTATAAATGTTTAAATTTAAGAGAAATTTCACTTAAGTTTTGAAATGGTTTGTACCAATTAGACTACCTGGTTTTTTTCAACCCATTGTTTTCATGAAACTATTCAATTGTATGGCAAAAACCCCTTTGGATATGAAGATATTCATCCTTAGTTCCCTTCAGAGCAGGGATTAACTACATGGAACCCTTCTTGTCATTTGGACCATATGTGTTTTTTCCAAGGAAAAGGTTCCACATTTTTTTAGTAATACTTCCCCTTATCACCCCCAGAACTCTGCTGAAGTTAGAGCCCCTCTCACTTAAACCCTAACTAGGATCTGCAAGTATTAAAGAGATAGGTTAAAAAGGAACATTATATTTTATGAGAACAAGTTCCAGGGATAGATTGTAGCTCAGTATTTTTATTTTTTCATTTTTGTATTCTGATGACTTTCAGTTTAATGGCCTGAGGGATATTGCACAGTAACTCAAACTGATTGTGACAGAGATTAATCGAATCAGTCTCTCCCTATAGTTCTTCAGATATTTATATGTACCCAGAGCAGGGCCCGGTACACAGTATGTGCTTGTATTTATTGCATAAATAAATGACTGAGGAGCTACTGACATTTATATTCAGTAAGTGGTTAATGAGGAAAGGGCTTTAGAATAGCTGATTATTTTGTCTGTGCAAAGAGGACTGAAAAAAAAATCATGAAGTTTTGTAAAACCAGGTTTCCTATAGCATAATTAACTGTTTGGTGGTTAAAGATATAAAGGGAAAAATAGAATTTGGGAGACAATGTGAAACTGTCACAGTTATTTTTGTTAAGTTAAAAGACTTCATTTTATTAAAATGTCACCTTCTTGCACAAGTACTATCAACTAGAAACGTATTGCTGCCTAGTTGATCCCTTGATCGTGGAGTAAATTTGGGTTTTTAGTAAATGAAGGTAACATTTCCCTCTTCCTTTGTAGGCATTTGGGATCACAGCTTTGTGAATTAGAAAAACTGATAGATAAAATGATGATTGCAGAATTTTCTACTTATTCTCACAGTGACTTAAATAGACCATTGGAAGATGACTGTCAAATTTTAGAAGAGGTATGTCCTTTGAATTCTAGAATGAAATTGATCTCATTGCTTAGTGTTATTTCCTAACAGCCTTAGTATAGAACATTCTTCTTAGGTTATAGTGGGCAAAATTATCTTCAATATCAATCTGTGTGAGACCTATGAAATCTTTCACTATCTGACTTTAGAAAGCACCATACTTTTTTATTAACCTTTGAAATTAGAGAATAAATAATTTTATAGCTTAATTAGAAATGGAAATTAAAGTCTTTATATAGCTTATAACCCAAGTTCCAAATGTGGATATAGGATGATTAACTTATATCCTTGTGTATGCATGTAGTGGAGTATGTCTTATATAAAAAGTGATTGTTATTGTATGGTATTTTACCTGTCATTCACATTCACTGAGCACCTGTTAGGAACATGTTTTATGCATGTGCATGCACAAATGTATTATATTTGGTAATTTATCTGGTAACTTCTTAATGCTGATTATTGCCAAAAACTATTAATAGTAAAGAATCCAAAAAGCCCTGATAGCAGCCTAATGAGTTAAAGAGATTTTTGTGTTAGCAGTTAATTTTCCACAAATAATCCAGGTCATCATTCCAGTGTTGTAGACCACTAATTTAAAAGCATAGAGCTTATAGAGTATTTATTCGTCATCAGGGTTTGAGAAGAATACTTTCTAGCTTCTTATTGAAACTAGACTAAAATATATTGTTCTGCCCCCAAACCAGCTTCATTTGATCCACTGTAGTAGGATGAGGTTTGCCTGTTTAGAATAATGACTGCAAAAATCTGCTGACAAGATTGCTTTGGAAAGGGGTTTTTAAGGCTTCTAGGAAATACCATATGCAATATAGAGATTTCAGGGTTAAACAATTGATTATTTCTACTTCTAAGTGTCTGTGAGATTATTTTGTACTTAAATTGTGACATTGTATACCCTTTTGTTTTAATAGGAAAGACTAATCTCTCTTGTATTTGGACTTTTAAAACAAAGAAAACTTAATTTTTTAGAAATATATAGTGAAGAAATGATTATTACAGCAAAGAATATCATTAAACAGGTAATTGTACTTTTTTATTTTATAAATTTTTGGTCTAGAATTTTTTGTGAAGTTTATTTTTACATGATCTTGTAATATATGTGGTATCGTAATATTTTCTCATTTATTTAAAAATTTTAAATATAGAAAACTAGAACAAAGAAAAATATGGCCCAGCTAGTCAAAAAGATTATCACTTGAGTATTTAAAAGTGTAAGTTGTTACTGGTGTTTTTCATTGGTGCTGTCATATTGTATATATAATTTTGAATTGTACAAATATTTCAGTTTGAATCATAACATAAACATTTCCTCATAAGCCTTCAGAAAGATCACTTTTAAAGGTTATATAAAATTCCATCAACATCCTGTTACTTAAACCTGTTTAACCTTTCCTCTGTGTTACATATTTAGGTCATTTTCTGTTTGGTAGTATAAAGATCACTGTGACAAACAACTTTGGTATAAAATTTTGTTTGTTTAGTTTTTTCATATTTAAGACTGTTTTTTTTAATAACTGATTCCTGAAGTAGAATTGTTGGTTAGAGAATGAAAAGTATTCTTAAATTGTTTGATGCATGGAGTTGAATTGCTTTTTTTTTTTACTAAAAAAGATTTTACCAATAGTTTATACTTTCACCAGTGTTTCTTCTTATCCTGAGCTCTTAGAAATTATCGTTGTAAACTAAAATCTATTTTTTTTTTTTTTTTAGTATTCTCTGATTTTTGTTTTGACTTTTCAAATAAATCTCATTCACTGAACTTTAGTTTTTCTGTATTTGAGAAAGAACAATTTTGAATGTATTTGTTAGGCTTAACTGATCATCATCGTTAGGTTAAATGTACATTTTTTAGTTTTTAGTGTTTAAATAAAACAAGCAAGAACTAAATATACACATATCTTATGACTTAGCATTTCTATTTCTAGGTAAGGTAATTTACCCATCAGAAATTTGTACATAGACCACCAAAACAGCAGAAGCATTTCATGGCAGCATATTTGTAATAATAAAAAAAAAAAAACCTGGAAAAACCCAAATTTTTTCACCAGTAGGAAAGGTAAATAAAATTGTAGCATATTTACATCAATGAGTACTATAACAGCAATGAGAATGAATAATTACCTGAAACAAACAACATGGATATTCACATATATAATGTAGAGCCAAGGAAGCCAGACACAGAAGAGTACACACTGTATGATTCCACTGACCTAAAAATTCAAACGTGGGCAAAAGTAGTCTATGATGTTAGAAATCAGGATGGCAATGTCTTTGGGGAGGAAGTAGTGACAGGAGGGGAACAAGAGAAGGGATGACTGGTAATGTTAAATTTCATAATCTGAGTTCTGTTTAAATAGGTGTATTCCACTTGTAAAATAAATATTGAGCTATAAATATAATTTGTTCAGTTTTCTGTATGTATATTTTAAACAGTTTTTAGAAACTGCTGTGTTTTAATTGCTAGACTTCTTCTAAGTCTGAGCATTTATTTTTTTAAGACTTGAAACTTTTGCACGTATTACGAGGAAATGTGATTTCCAAAGTGAATTTCTTTTGGAATTTTAGTATGAGGCTTAAACCATGTTCCTAAGAATTATAGTTCTATGGGGATTTTTTGTGTGCATGTGTTGTGTGTTTGTTTATGTGTATAACTCTGAACAGTTTTAAGTGGTAGGAAATTTTAATTAGTACAGTTTAAGTATTCCCTGTAATAATTATTTAATAGGGTAAGGGTACTGCTGCAATTTGTAAGAGACAAAAGAGAGGTTTGGTAAAATGATTATCATAGTCATTGAGGCACTTATTAATAAACAAATGAACATGTAGTACTTACAATTCTAAAGATGTTAATCAAATTTTTTTCCTTAAATTTTGCAGTGTGTGATTAATAAAGTTTCACAAATAGAAGATATAGACACAGATGTTGTTTTGAAGTAAGTATAAATATTAAGTTGGGGTTACCAGTCAGGGAAAAGATAATACATTAGAATAAGGAGGATTTAGTTAAAGAATTATTTGCTAAAGTGTGGGCAGAGTACAGGAAAATCACAAGTGATAGTGCAGTACCTTTAAGGGATGAAGAGAGCCATTAATAGAATTGAGAAGGAGAAAAAAATGTAAGTAGTTAGAATAATCTTGTAATAATTGAATTGATGCTCAGTGGAGGGAGCCAGTCATCCTGAGGTAACCACTCCAGGGCAGAGACGGCACTATCAGCACCTTTCCTCCTTTCAGTCTTTTGCAAGGGCTCCTCACTGGCCAAGTCCACAGGTCAGCCTCCCAGGGCTGAGAGAGGGTGGAGATGTACATAGATATGGAGGGTGGAAATTGAAGAAGAACAGTGCTAAATTTGTTTAGCCATATAATTAAAACACAATTAGCTTTGAGAAGTTTGAATGCATGACTTAGAATTGCCCATGTCTGTAATTTTTTGTTTTCCCTTGAAATTCCTGTTCTGATACTTTGAGAAAAATAGTGATAAGTATTTTATGACTATGAGTTTCTTGTTCATATACATATATAAATTTTATTAACTGGTCTAAGATATGAATAGTAATGTGGACAACTGTAAATCTTCTCTGGGCCAAGTTCATAGAATGAGAATTGTGGAGTTTTAATTTGTACACTTACCTAAGCTCAGGTTCAGAATTAGTTGAAGCAATCCTGATAAAGCAAGGATCACTAGTAGTTGGAAAAATTAAGTTATTGGACTTTTTCTAAAGGTCCTATATACATGGAGAGTCAATTTTTAATTTTTTTCTTCCATATGGAATTTTCTTAACTTAGAGAACATCCTATATCTCAAATATATAGGAGTACCTTTTGAGACTAAAGTCCTAAGTGTAGCATCATTAATTAAAAATTTAGAGTAATAAGTTATTACAGTACTCTGAAATATCTTTATGGAATTCTGTTTTTTATTTTAAAAATCGATTGATGTCAGCTATAAAAATATTGGCTATACTTCTATATATTACACTAATATAATATTTGGTGTATATATATAAAAACATTATAGATATAAATATTGGCTAATACATAGCATTTTTTTATTCACTGTGCATTGTCCTGAGTACTTATTGACTCAATACTCACATCTACCATATGTGGTAGTTTCTATCACTTTTTCCATATGGGTTTCCCTGGTGGCTCAGTGGTAAAGAATCTGCCTGTAATGCAGAAGACGTGAATTCAATCCCTGGGTTGGGAAGATACCTTGGAGAAGGAAATGGCAACCCACTCCAGTAGTCTTGCCTGGAGAATCCCCATGGACAGAGGAGCCTGGCAGGCTATCGTCCATGGGGTTGGAAAAGAGTTGGACATGACTGAGCGACTTTTACTCACTAAGTCACTTGCCCAGAGTCACACAACTAGTTAAGTGGCAGGGCTGGATCTTGAACCAAGACACTGTGGCTCAAGAGCCCATACTCTTAGCCACTATGCCATGTTATCCTTCATATATAGAAAAGTACTTTTAGTTTGTAGTTAGAAAGATAGGTTATTAAATTTTTTTAGGGGAGCTGTTATGTTTCTTATTTTTATTCCAGCATGTCTTTTCTAGGAATTTAATAAACATTTAACCTAGTTTATTTCTCTATCCCTTTACATTGAATGATCATAAAGCATGTTCATGTGGAATTAATACATGATAAAGATGTCTTAGAGATGTTTCAAAAAGGAGTTGTTTAGTAATTGACTTCTTCATCTCTATTGTATAATTCGAGATTAAATTGCATTATATTATGTTACTAGATAGTATTCAGTGTAGTTTCCTCCAACTTGTAGATAACATCATACTGGCCCCAAGACAGTCATTATTTTTGTTTGAATTTTTTTTCTAGGCTTGCAGATCAGATGAGAATGTTGAATTTTCCTCAGTGGTTTGATTTACTAACGGATATTTTCTCCAAGTTTACAATTTTCCTACAGAGAGTTAAGGTAAGCTTATGTGATTTATCAGTTTGTCCAGAATATTCCTAAAATTGTTGGCTTTCTAGACACAAAAATTTGAATACAACAAAATTTTTTATTTTTGCAATTTTTTTAAAGGAGCTTTGTTTTAAGTAAGATTTGAAGTGCTTCAGAATATTTGGATAACTTTTTTTATAATTCTGGATGATTTATTTCATTTTAAAAAGAAATATGCTTACTTGGCATTAAATATTATACAGTAATATTTCCTTTTGTGATTTTGTGATGCTTGAATCTATCTAGATTATCTATAGTTAAAATATTATGAAACACTCAAAAATCTATCCCATAACACTTAATTTTTCTAGGAATTTAATATTAATATTATGCTGATACCATAATATTTTAAACATATGGTTCATATTTACATTATTTCACTAATGTTCTTTATTGCAGGCTTTTATTTCATTTTTAAACCTGGGATCCAATCATGTATCATGCATTACATTTAATTACTTTGTGGTCAAGCCAGTTAATTTTAATCCAATCATTATAAGGAAAAGAACTCATGTCACATAGCATTTTTCAGAAGAAAAGATGTCATAGACTCTAATATATGTTTGTTGGGATTACCAACATGTTATTACTTTTTTAGTAAGATAGTCCTTAGGAATTACTGAATATAAGAAGCTGTTAGTGAAATGTGATATTCTTTGAATTGTCAGGTGTCAATATTGCGTTTATGTTCTAGTCAAGATCCCTGGCACCTCCTGAGTTTCATATTAAAAATGATCTGGGGTACTTAGGTATTTATCTATAAAATGACTTTCTTATTAAAATTGGGATGATGCTCTACATCACATATATAAGCTTTCTGGTTGAAATGGGAAAAGTTTTTATAAAATGTGATTCATTGCATTTAATTTAGACTCCTTCCAAAATGTTGATCTTAGCTATTGATAGTGATAGATATCAAACCTGTATCTGTGAATTGTACAGTATAAGGCCATGTTTTTACTTTTTCTTACATTCCCACCATGACTTCATCACACACTTCTGGACATATAGAACTCCTACATTGCATAGTTGGAGTTGGCCAACTTTTTGCCAGTAGTTTTTAAAATAGCCATCTTACTTTTAGATTCTATATCACTTAAACTAAGCCAAATTACTATTTGATGTATGTGCTATATGAAAACAGTGATTTGTCCTAATTGTAGCTTCTCATTTTCACATTTAGGCCACTTAAACTAATACTGTTGTAAAACGTCTTTGAAGATGATGTTTGATTTTTAAATACAGTAATTTTTCTTTGGAAAAGTTTGTGATTCATTGTAGGGCATGATTTCACTGAAACATAATATTAGAAACTTCATTTTTAATGAAGATTTTTAAATAACTACAAATTGGAAAACTCTGATGTCTAGCATAGAAATGGTAAAATTAGTTATGCCTAGTGTACTCACTAGCACAGAATGTCATGCAGGCAAAGATTTTTAATGATTGAAGAAAATGCATACATTATAACATTAAGTGAAGAAGCAAGACAGAGACCTATTTATGTAGTATGCTCTTAGCTGTTAAAAACATTTTATTTATTTATTTTTTACCTCTTCATCTGCATAGACCAAAGACAGCTTGTCTTTTTTGTGGTTATCTTTAGATGGTAGAATTATGTATAATTTAAACTTGTTATTCATTCTTTTCTTTTTTCCCTAAGTTTTCTACAAAAAGAGTCATTACATTTTTGTAATTGAAGTATAGTTGACTTACAGTGTTGTATTAGTTTCTGGTATACAGAAAAGTGACTCAGTTATTCAGTTACATGTATTCATTTCATAGTCTTTTCCATTATAGTTTATTACAGGATGTTGAATATAGTTCCCTGTGCTATACAGTAGGACCCTTGTTTACCTGTTTTATATAGTTCATATCTGCTAATCCCAAACTCCTAATTTATCCACCCCCTGCCCTGCCCTTTCCCCTTTGGTAACCATAAGTTTGTTTTCTATGTCTGTGAGTCTATTTCTTTTTTGTAATGAGTTCATTTGTATCTCTCTTTTTTTTTGGATTCTACCTATAAGTGACATCGTGTGGTATGTGGTATTGTCTTTCTGTATCTAACTTAACTTCACTTAGTATGATAATTTCTAGATCTATTCATGTTGCTGCATGGATGGATGGCATTTTTCATTCTTTTTATGGCTGAATAATATTCCATTGTGTATATTTACCACATCTTTTTACCCATTTATCTGTCAGTGGACATTTCCATGTCTTGGCTATTGTAAATAGTACTGCTATAAATATTGGGTTGCATAAATCTTTTCTAATTAGAATTTTCTCCAGATATATGCCCAGGAGAGGGATCACTGGATCACATGATAACTCTATTTTTAGTTTTTTAAGGAACTTCCATACTGTTTTCCATAGTTTCTGCACAAATTACATTCCCAACAGTGGTGTCAGAAGGAACCTTTTTCTCCACATCCTCTCCAGCATTAATTATTTGTATACTTTTTGAAGACAGCCATTCTGATCAGTGTAAGGTGATGCCTCATTGTGGTTATGGACAGTATTTCTCTAATAATTAGCAGTATCAAGCAACTTTTCATGTGCCTTTTGGCTGTCTGTGTGTCTTCTTGGATAACTGTCTGGATCCACCCATTTTTTAATTTGGTGGGTTTTTTTTTTTGACCTATATAAACTGTTCGTGTATTTTGGAAATTAATTCCTTGTAGGTCACATCATTTTCAAATATTTTCTCCCAGTCTTTTCATTTTGTTTGTGGTTCCCTTTGCTGTGCAAAAGCTTTTAAGTTTAATTAGGTCCTATTTGTTTATTATTATTTTTATTTCTATAACTCTAGGCATCAGCTCCACAAAAATATTGCTGCAATTTATGTCGAAGAGCATTCTGCCTGTGTTTTCCTCTAGGAGTTTTATAGTATCCGGTCTTACATTTAGTTCTTTAATCAATTTTGAGTTTATTTTTGTAGATGGTGTTAGAGAGTGTTCTGATTTCATTCTTTCACATGTAGCTTGTTTTCCCAGTGCCACTTGTTGAAGAGACTATCTTTTCTCCATTGTATATTCTTATATTCTTTATTGTAGATTAATTGATGACAAGTTTGTATGTTGATTTGGGGGCATTAATTGTATTTTGAATTTTTATTAGAATTTTTGTTTATTGTTTATACCCCATAGTTTAGAATGATTTGTATAGCTGAAAAAGAAAATAATCCTTAAATGAAGCTTGACAGTCTTTTCAAGAAATTTTTAACTCTTAGATTTTCAACTTGTTACATAGACAGTTCTGGACTATCATTTTAGAGACTTAATCAATATGGTTACCAGATTATTTCATTCACTATTCTCAAGATTGGAAAAATTTATTTTAGTTGTTCTGATATTTAAACATGAACTTAACTATAAGTTGATGCAATAGGAAAGTTCAGCAAGTAAATCATGTACCTACTTTTTTTTTTTAATGCATTTATTAGGTAGTTACTTTGTGCCAGGCACTATTCTGAGCACTGTATTTTTATTATTAATATTTTGAAATTTTTTATTGGAGTATAGTTGCTTTACTCTACTGTTGAATCTATATGTATTGTGAAATCTGGGGTTCTTAAACAAGCATGATTCCGGACTTGGAAAAAAAATAATTACACACCTTTAAAACTTGTAGATATGGTGAAAACAGTGAAGAAGAACCCCTAAGAGAACAGCTAATACACTGTATATAGAAAATTTATTGTATTAGCTAAGATGTTGTCTGTTAAAAGTGGCAAAATGTTCGAATCAAACTAATTTAAACAATAAAAGAAATGTATTGGCTTGAGGAACTTAAATTAGTCCAAAAACTATAGAGGAACTTAAATTAGTCCAAAAACTATAGACTTCAGTTTTGGTGTGGTCATTGTTTTCTTGATTAGTTTCACTGTTTTATTTCATTTCTACCTCCTCTTTTTGACTTCACTTTTAAAGTAACTTACCTAATTGTAGCAAAATGTCTATATATAACAGTTTCAAGTCTTCCACATTTGTATACTGTACCTTCTAGAACAAGATTTTTTCTTCTTCAGTCATCAAATGAAAGTCCTTAGTTTTAATCCATTGGGTTTATTTAGGTCACATACCCAGTCACTGTGGTCAGAAAATGCTCTGCACTGGTTGGTTTGGGTCTGGATTTTCTCCTCATTTCTAATCCTGTGACAGGAGGCTGGGAGCATAGTGGGTGGCTACGCAGGACTGAGCCCGCACCCGGAAGATGGACTCAGTTTGCACAGCTGTGCTCCTGTGGGGGAGGTGCAGGTTAGTTGCTGGGGGAGAGAAAGACTATGTTTAACTTTTTTTTAAATGAGAAATTTTTTTTAGAAAGAAAATCACCAAGAGACAAGAGATAAGGAAGAAGAAAGGCAGAAATGAAGATGGGAGAGGTAGCATATTAAAGATTAAGACATCAGTAAGAATTAAAAGCGGCAATGGGATAGTATAGCAGGGAGCAGGTTTGTGACAATAGAGAAGTTACTGATGAGCAGAGAAGATATGCAGTATTCATAGACTCGAAGGCTCAGAAGCTCTGTCTAATACTGTATGTATTCACTTGAGTACATTTAGTCCCAAATAAACAGGAAATACAGAGTGTTTTAAACAAGGGGATTTATTAGTTCATAGAACTAAAAAAAATCCATAGGTGGGTCAACCTTTAGGTGTTTAATAGAGAAGCTGATAATATTATCAAGCCTAATTTTGTTCCCCTGTGTTTCTCTCAGTCTGTCTTCTATGTATCTTCTTTAGCTTTAAGCTCAGGTGGTTCGTTTGCTGATTGGCCCACCTTAGACCCTTATCCTACCTTTGGAGACTTACATTTGGAGTCTGCTTCCCTAGAACCATGTAGATCCTGAAAAAGAAATCAAGAATTTTGAGAAAGGGACAGCTAGTTATGAGAGTTCAACCTTAAATGTTAAAGTAGGAATATAGCTCCTTATTTCTTAGTAGTCCATGAAGACATTGATTTACATAAATTTACTCTTGATTCATCTACCTTTCAGTATTTATTAAATACCTCCTCCATGCACAGTACTTTCTATTCTAGGCAGTAGTATACAGTATCTCATGGAGCTAACACTGTAGTGGAAAGAGACCTAGAACTAAAGAATTAAAAGATAGCAATAACTGATATTTTTTAAAAACTGAGTAATGGGATAGGATTACTGGTAGGAGTTAGAGGAGGCTTCTTTGAGGAAGTGACATTTGTGCAAGAACCTTAGTGATGAAAAGGAAACATGTATGTAAACATCAAGGTGAAGAGCATTCCCAGCAGAGGAAACAACAAAGGTACTGAGATGGAAACAGTGAAATTTAAAAGAATAGGAATGAGTGAGAAAAGATGTGAGATGAGGAGAAATGGATATAAAAGTAGATATGGTAAGGAATAGGGATTGTATTTTCTTTGTAAGTAAGCACATCAATGAATATGATCCTCTGATAGGCAACTTATATTAAATATAGCCTATTTAAGAAGTGAGAGAAATATGCACTGTATTTTAGGGAGATCGCTATTTACAAAATTAATTTGTAAGTATAGCCCTATGCCTAAACTTTAGGGAACCCATCTCTTCAGCAGTTCTTTTTTCACCAGTCACTTTTATTGTGTAATTGAAGATAGAAATTCTGATATGCATGACCTTGACTCATTTGTAAAATGCTCAAACATACACACACAGTTCACTTTTGAAACCTTGGGTACAAAATATTTTATATCAATTAAAAATGTATCCTGTTTTCTTCTAGGCAACCTTAAATATCATTCATAGTGTTGTTCTCTCAGTTCTTGACAAAAACCAAAGGACTAGAGAATTGGAAGAGATTTCACAACAGAAAAATGCTGCAAAAGATAATTCACTAGACACAGAAGTGGCTTATTTAATCCATGAAGGCATGTTTATAAGTGATGCATTCAGTGAGAGTGAATTAACACCTATAGCCATAGATTCTACCTCTCAAAGAAATGCATCTCCAAATAGTGAGCCCTGCAGCAGTGATTCTGTATCTGAACCAGAATGTACTACTGATTCTTCATCCAGCAAAGAGCAGATATCATCATCTGTTACTCCAGGAGCTGTGGATATTATGTGAGTATGGTGACTGTTGCCAGATTAACAAGACTTTGAGTCATCTTATTAATGGTTTAAATAAAACTGATTCTTCAGTTTATTGAAAAACCGTGTATACTTTGGTCTTTTGGAATTTAACAAAAATAAATAAATTTTATGAAACATATGTATTTTTGAAAATTTATGGAAGGTAAGGAGGTGTGTTTTGGAAATAATTGAGAATTATAGAATTTTAAGTCTGGAAAGAAATGATTTAATTAAATGCCCCCAATTTGGAGAGTTTAGATGGCTTATTTAAAGTCATTAGTGGCAGAACCTGTCCTGGAACTCAGGTCAGTATTTCCTTGGTTATGTTTCTTTCTTTTACTGTATCACCTTTGTATTTTGTATATAGTAAAGATGTATTTGGTTTACAGTTTTCAGTTGTTCAAAGGCATGAGTTTCCAGGTGGGTCACACTGTCTTTTTAATATTACTTTTTAAAACTTATTTTGAAATAATTTCAGATTTACAGAAAACTTGCCAGAATTATTTTTTAAGAAAGCCTCTAGTATATCCTTCACCTTGCTTCCTCAGTTAAGTCTATATCACATTGCCCTCTTTCTCCCTTTCTCTCTTTTCATCTCTCCTTTGTCTCTCATGTTAAAATTTTTACTCAGTCATTTGACAGTAGATTTCAGACTTGATGTCCCAAATACTTCAGCATATATTTCCTAAATACAATAACACTTTCCAACAACTGCAGTATCCTAGTGAAAATTAAGAGAACACTGATCCATTATTACCATCTAATCCGTACACCCCATTAAGTGTTTTGAATAGAACAAAAGCAAAATAAAACCAATACAATCTTTTTGGTCCAAGAACATCATTTATATTTTGTAATTATTAAGAGTAATAGCAACTCAGTATTTTTGTTCATTTTGATATAAGTCAGATTATGGCCTAGGAGCTTATAAAGGTTGCAGTTATAGTGTGGAGTCAACTATAACATCTCCTCTCCCTCTATCAATCAAGCAAACCCTGAACTACCTATAAATAAAAATATTTTTTTCTCTGTTTAGGCTTATATTTTCACATATATTGGTTACGGTTCAGTCTAAAACTGCTGTTAAAAGAGATGTTAAAACATTTATAGTTTAAGCAATGTATTAATAGAAATTTTGTTTCTCTCCTGTAACTGTTAAGAGATAGGAAATTTTTTCCAGAGCTGAGAACGTAAATCCACCATCTCATTTTGTGGCTTCTACCTGTGCCTTAGGAGGCTGCTCCAATTTTATCATCTCATTTCCATCTGTAGTAGCAAGAAGGAGAGGACAAAGGCTGAGACTCTCCCTACTTTTTTGTTTTGACTTTTTAGTTGGAATGTAATGCATATATAGGGGAATGCACCAGTTATAACATTCAGCTCAATTTATTGTAACAAAATGAACATGCTGGTGTAATCACCACCCAAGAGACAGACATTACAGCTCTTTTGAAGCACGCTATGGCCACTGTGCTTTCACTTTTTCCCAAAGGAAACCATTAAAACTATTGATTTTTCCAGGTTTTTAACTTTTATATAAATGGAACCATTGAATTATGGTCTTTAGTCTCTGATTTCTTTCATTTCTCATTATATTTGTGATATTTTTCTAAATTGTTGCATATAGCAGTTTATTTGTATATAGATGTTCCACTTTCTGACTGCACAACAGTGAATTTATCATTCTGCTGTTGATGAAGTTTGGATTATTTTCAGTTTGTTGTGACTATTCTTGTAGATGTCTTTGGTGTACATGTCATAAGTATTTCTGTTGACTATATACCTAAGAATGAGTAAGTATGTGAATAGTCAATTTAACTAAAGCCAAATAATTTCCCAAAGTGATTATACTCCTTTACAATCCTGTCAGTTGTGTGGAAGCATTCCTGCTTCTCCACATCTTCATTCATCTTGGTGTTGTCAGTCATTCACATGTCAGTAAAACATTTTGGTATGTCACAGGTGTAATACTTTAAATTTTTATTTCCGTGATGATTGGTAAGAGGACACTTTTCATATATTTACTGGCTGTTTGAATATCCTCTTGTGAAGTGCCTATAAATCCTTTGCCCACTTCTCTCTTGGTCTGCCTTTTATTTCTTACTGATTATGGGAGTTCTTTATGTAGTCTCAACACAGCCCTTTGTCAGTTGTTCCATGATGCAAATATCTTCTTCCACTCTGTGGGTTGGCTTTTCACTTTTTTACTGGGGTCTCTTGTGAACAAGAGTTCTTGACTTTAATATAATCTTATGATTCATTCTTTCCTTTAATGGTTTATGTTTTTTTGTGTGTGTCCTATTGAAGAAAATCTTTCACTACCGTAAGACTTTGATGACATTCTCTTGCTTTTTTCTGGAAGATTTGTTGATGTCCCTTGCACATTTAGATCCACAGTGTATCTTAAATTGATTTTTGTGTGTTGTGTGAAGTTATTTTCTTTTTTCCCATGTAGATATCTTTTTGACCTCACACCATTTATTGAAAAGACTGTCTTACCCATTGCTATATAGTACCACTCTTGCCTTAAATTAAATATTCATATATAAATGAGTCTGTTTCTAGACTGTTTTGTTCAGTTGTCTTTCTTCACACCAGTACCATTTTATATTAGTTATGATACCTTTTTAATTAGCCTTAATATCTGATAATTTCTCCTACCTTTTATTGTTCTCCCAAGATGCCTTAGATGTTACAGATCTGTATATATTTTAGCTTCGTTAGCTCTCTTGTTATTATCACATAAACTTGTCCATATTTTTCCTTTCTATTTAAGAGCACAATCCAGAATTTGCAATCCCATATTCTAGTGGCTAGAATATTTTCACATGTCTATATCTAGCTGTAAGAGAGGCTTGAGAAATAGTGTACAGCTTGTTGGCTATTTGATAGCTAAAACGGTTACTGTGGCAGAAGAGAGAAGAGATATTAAAAGATAGCTGGAAAATGTGCCTGTACTATTTGAGATTCCTTTAAATCAAATGCAGTCTCAGATTTTAACCCACCCCTCCCACCTCCATTGTGGCTCGCTATGCACTTCAGAGCTTCTCTGGCTTTCCACAATGACATGCTCCCATAGCATGATTACAGAGCATCTATAAATTGTTCCTTCTGTGTTTCATAGGTACATAAACGTCTGGAAACTCCCCACTTTCCATTGCCAAAGGGGCAATGGATTGATTGAATGTATTTATACATTTAACCCTAACTAGTTCTTCCCTGTGTCAGATGTTTTTGCAGTATGTAATTGTGTCACAGATACAGTACATGCAGAAATGATGTCTGATTTTTGTATCTTTGTTAGTGGTAGATTTTCTTTGTTTTCTTACATTAGCAAAATAACCTACAGCTTTGTAAGTTTATTGCAATGTAAATACCGGCACAAAAGAGTAAATAATCTCCCAGACAGGAAATGGGAAAGAAAAAATAATGGATAGGATTAGAAAGTAGTATAGATTTTTAAAAATTTTTTATTTTAAATTGTGGTTAAAAAAACACATGCAGTTTATCATTCTAGCCATTTGTAAGTGCACAGTTCAGTAGTGGTAAATGTATTCACATAGTTGTACAACCAATCTCGAGATCTTTTTCTTCTTGCAAATCTGAAACCCTGTGCACATTAAACAGTAACTCCCCATATCCTCCCCTACCAATTCCCTGGCAACTACCCTTTTACTTTGTATCTCTATTAGTTCAGTGACTCTAAGTACTTCATATAAGTGGAATCATACACTGTTTGTCCTTTTGAGACTGTCTTATCTTGTTTAGCATAATGTCTTTACAGGTGTCCCAGGTGGCGCTAGTGGTAAAGATCCCACCAGATAATGTAGGAGACTCAGGTTCGATCCCTGGGTAGGGAGTATCCCCTCGAGGAGGAAATGGCAATCCACTCTAGTATTCTTGCCTGGAGAATCCAGGGACAGAGTAACCTGGCGGCCTATAGTCCATTGGGTCCCAAAGAGTAGGACAGGACTGAGTGACTAAGCACAGAGTTGTCTTTAAGTTTCATCTATGTTGTAGCATGTCAGAATTTCCTTCTTTTTTTGAGGCCGAATGATATTCCATTGTAGGTATATACCACATTTTACCTATTTATCTGTCAGTGGACTCTTGGATTGCTTCCATCCCTTGGCTGTTCTAAATAGTGCCACTGTGAACATGAGTGTGCAAATACCTCTTTGAGATCCTGCTTTCAACTCTTTTGTATATGTAACCAGACACTGGTTCATGTTTGTGAGCAGTTTTTTGTTTTTTTGTTTTTCCTGTTAACAGTAAAGAGGTCCAATTAGACTTAAAATTTTAAAAATCTTTTTAAAAAGCAAAATTATAAATAATCAAATAATTTATGAAGCTCAAACTTCCCAGCTTTATGGGAGGTGGTACTGAAATAGCACTTGGGCTGTTTATAGAAGTAAATGTTGGAATAGAGGAAGCTTCAGTTCAGTTCAGTCACTCAGTCGTGTCTGACTCTTTGCAACTCCATGAATCTCAGCATTCCAGGCCTCCCTGTCCATCACCAACTCTCGGAGTTTATTCAAACTCATGTCCATCGAGTCGGTGATGCCATCCAACCATCTCATCTTCTGTCGTCCCCTTCTCCTTCTGCCCCCAATCCCTCCCAGCATCAGGGTCTTTTCCAATGAGTCAACTCTTTGCATGAGGTGGCCAAAGTACTGGAGTTTCAGCTTCAGCATCAGTCCTTCCAATGAACACCCAGGACTGATCTCCTTTAGGATGGACTGGTTGGATCTCCTTGCAGTCCAAGGGACTCTCAAGAGTCTTCTCCAACACCACAGTTCAAAAGGCATCAATTTTTCAGCACTCAGCTTTCTTCACAGTCCAACTCTCACATCCATACATGACCACTGGAAAAACCATAGCCTTGACGGACCTTAAAGGTCCTTAGACGGACCTTTGTTGGCAAAGTAATGTCTCTGCTTTTTATTATGCTGTCTAGGTTGGTCATAACTTTCCTTCCAAGGAGTAAGTGTCCTTTAATTTCATGGCTGCAGTCATCATCTGCAGTGATTTTGGAGCTGCCAAAAATAAAGTCAGCCACTGTTTCCATTGTTTCCCCATCTATTTGCCATGAAGTGATGGGACCAGATGCCATGATCTTGGTTTTCTGAATGTTGAGCTTTAAGCCAACTTTTTCACTTTCCTCTTTCACTTTCATCAAGAGGCTTTTTAGTTCCTCTTCACTTTCTGCCATAGCTTAGCAGGTTAGAAATAGAATTAGACTAATTCTGGGTTCTAGTCTCATGCTTTCAACCTTGTGACCTTGGGTAGATCACTTAAACTTTCAAAATTTAGTATCCTCATCTGTTAAGTAGGAGTTTGTCTGCCTCAGAGTGTGAGAGCCAAGTAAGATACTGTATCTGAAAGTGTTTTAAAAATATTGATCCCTCTATTATTTTAAGCACTAGTAAATAAACTTTATGACATAACTTTAAAGGATAGCAGGTAACAGCTTTCTTCAATACCTTAACCCAGTGGTTTGCCTCAAATTAATGGACATCACTTTCTCTTTGAAATGTCTTTGAAAGTTGTCGTTCTTTGGTCACTAGGTCGTGTCTGACTCTCTTACAACCCCATGGGCAGTAGCCTGTCAGGCTTCTCTGTCCAAGGTATTTCCCAGGCAAGGATACTGGAGTGGGTTGACATTTCCTTCTCCATGGGATCTTCCCAATCCAGGGAACAAACCCACGTCTCCTGCATTGATAGACAGATTCTTTACTGCTGAACCACCAGGTAGAAAAATTATGCTAAGACACTTCACTTTAACACTAAGCTGAATTTTTGGCACAAAATCCGTGGTCTTTATACATGCTCTAGGGGGGCGGGAAATGCATAAAAAGACAAAAAGTCTTTACATTTCTTCCTCAAAATTGGAATAAATGCATTACATATTATATATACTCCTATTTAATTTTAATTTCCTTAAGAAAACATATTCCCTCCAGTGTCTAGTACTTAAATACAATAAGTGCTCAAGAAATACTAGTTCAGTTGATCTGTCAATTCATAATTAGAATTCATAACTTATAATTCATAATTATAAGTAAAAAGCAGGCCTGTTTGTTCCTTCCTTCCATTTCTTTCCTCTTCCTTCCACTATGTCATCCTGGGCAACCTGTGCACAGCCTGCCATAGATACAACCTTGTACCTAATGTTTTGTTTTGTTTGTTTGTTTTTTGCTATAGTTTTTGCAGAATTTCCAGAGTCTGAATTAAGTATTAAAAATACTACAACAGAGAGAGAAGATTATTCAAGATTAGGGAGAAATTTATTTGTACTATCTGAACTTGCTTATATGATGCCCTGCCACAAAATTAAAACTGTGTGATACATCAAAACAGAATTTTCCCTTAAATGTAAATTTTACAGCTTTTTGTTTTTTATTGGTATGTCATCTGTGGAGATCAGTGTGTTTACAACTTTTCTTGACTTAATCTCTTTTTGTCATTTTCAGGGTCAATGAAGATGTGAAATTAACTGACTTAGAGCTAGGAAAGCTGGCAAATAATATCCAGGAGTTATTATATAGTGCCTCAGATATATGCCATGATCGAGCTGTCAAATTTCTCATGTCAAGAGCTAAGGTTATTTGTTTTGATAAAGTTTAGATATTTTTTACATAGTAAAATTACTTGAAAATCTAGAATATATCCTTGCTTGTATCCCTATATTCTGCATAATGCATATTATATTTTTAACACTTAATAAGGTACTGGTGTGGTCTATTAGGGAGGTGTTGAAATGCAAAATAATCCAAATAAAAGAAATAGTAAAACTTAAACTTGAATTTCAAATAAATGATTAAAAGACTTAACTCAATAATTATTTGAAATTAACATGCTATTTTTATACATATATATGTGTATTATTGACCAAATAATGTAGTTGTTCTCCAGTATTATGAAAATTGTGTAGTATGACCTGAATTTATTTGAGTTACTTTATCTTAAAGGGATCAAAATAAAATTTAGACATCTTAAACTTTTAATGCTTGATTTCTGGGACTGAAGTATTGGGGAAATTTCATTAAAAATTATCTTAAAATAATTTTTAGGAATTAGTATAAATATTATAAAATAATTAATATTAATGTTGTTTAAGTTGGTTTTATAGCTATTCCATATTTTGTATTATACTAACTCATGAATATTGTTATCCTTAAAATTTAGGATGGTTTTCTTGAGAAGCTAAATTCCACGGAATTCATATCACTTTCCAGATTAATGGAAACATTCATTTTAGAAACTGAACAGATATGTGGAAGAAAAAGCATGTCATTACTTGGAGCACTTCAGAGCCAAGCAAATAAATTTGTAAATAGGTTTCATGAAGAGAGAAAAACCAAACTCAGGTATTAATACCATGTCCATTCTGCTCATTTATTCCCCCTTTACTTTATAAAACACAGTTATATTTAAAAGATGAAACTTCATTGATTGGCCAACTAAAACCCCTGACAGTTGTTTTTCTTTTAAATTATAGACATTGTGTAATTAAATCACCATTTCTTGGCTTTTGAAGGTGGAGTTAGAATGTTTATTTCTGTGAAAGTACTTATCCTGATAGACTGACTTTTGATTTCCCACTCAAAGTGAAGTTAATTATGTTTTACCATTCTTCTTGACTAGGCTAAGAGATATAAAAAGGGAAATATTTCCTGAAACTATTTGTACTATTTATGAATGACCTCAGTTTATTAAGCTGTTCAGCATTTTTTAAAAGTCTCACGTACTAGCAACAGCTAATGACCGTTACTGTTTAGAAAGTCAAATGCCTTGTATTGCATGGGCTCTACTTGAATTTAACTAAGATACATGTAGTCTTAATTATATAAGTCTTAAGTACTCACTTGGCTTTTCCTTTTCTTTTTACCCTAGGAGATAGGGTTGAAACATTATTAAAGTTTATCTTTCTTTTTACTTTTGAATAGCCTTCTCTTAGACAATGAACGCTGGAAGCAAGCTGATGTTCCTGCAGAATTTCAGGATCTTGTTGATTCTATATCAGATGGAAAGATTGCTTTACCTGAAAAAAAATCAGGGGGTATGTGTACTCTTTCACACATTCTGTTTCAGTTTTATATTGTTTTTTCATTTTGTAAGAGTGCTTAATATTTTTTTTAATTGATAGTACCTGTTGGAAACCTTAGAACTCATATTCCCAACTTAGTAAGTAGTTGACTTGAAAAGTATTTGGCAATTTATAATACATTAAAATACTTACTGAATATTAACCATATTCCAAACATTGGACCAAGCGCTTTACATTCATTTATTCTCCCAACAACCTATGATAAAGATACTATTTTTACCTTGTTTAATATTGAGGAGGCATGAGGCTTCCAGGGGTTAAGGAATTTGGTACAAATGAAGATCTGTGATTTGAAACCAACTTTATGTAATTTCATAGCTGTGTTCTTAATCACTATACTACATTGTTTAGAGAATATGTATTATACTGGTAAACTTATATGTGTCAGATATTGAGACATAGGTAAGAGGTATAATTTTACTTTAAAAGGGCTAAGTCTAATGAAAAATATATTTATTAGCAATCATAAGTAATGTAGTAGTGATATGATAGAGAAAACCAAAATATAAAGAACCATAGAAAAAGAAAACTGAAGGAGACTACAAAGGAAGGGCAGGGAGGCAGGACAATCTAGAAGACAAAAGTTAAAAAATTAGAGTTTCAAGAAATATTTTTGTATGTCAGTTAAAGTGTAATACCAGGATGTGTTGTAGTTATGAAGTTCTTGAATGTTTTTAATGAAGGAAGCAGTTGCATTTTCAGTTTTTATGCATTTAATGAAAGTTTAATAGTTTTACATAGAAATATTTTTAAATTGTATACTGTACCATAAAATGCAGCTGTATTGCAAGAGAAAGACTGATAGGGACCACTGATAGGAGATAATTTGCAGTCTTTTTAATTCAGTGGAGTGATAGAGCCAGATTGTAGTTCATTGCTGAGTAATTCAAAAGGTAAGGAAGGGTAGACAAGTGTAAGGTACCTTTTCAAACAGGCCTTTCAAGTTTGGCTCTGAAGGGAAAGTAAATGATGAAGTGGCAGCTAGAGACACAAGAGCTATTAGAGAGACTGTTACCTTTAAATTCACTTAGGGAATTGAGAGAAGAGTCTTAAGATAAGAGAAACTGAATTATATGTTTATGCTTAATAGAAAGAGGAAGAAGGTTGATTTAAAATAAAAGTGACATAAAGTGATTGTAGGGGTAGGACCCCTGGAATTGAATCCACAGTTCAAGAGAGGGGCTCCCTCTGCCCACTGTAATGAGAGGGGGTGAGGAACAGGTGAAAATTAGAGTAATTCAAATATAGTAGAGGGAGAAATTGAAGAAATCGAGTAAATTTCTGTTGTTTAGTGACCATTTTTAGTAGATAACAATGTTGGGTGGTGGTCACAATTTTTAAATTGATTGTATGATATTAGCAAAGAAAAAGTGTTTATGTGGAAAAGACTGAAAGAAAAATAAGACACTCTGATCATCCTAAATCACAAACTTAAAATTATAGGACCTATTACCCATCTGTTCTTTCAAGCTGTATTTGATTGACTTTCCACTGTGTGAGGTGTTATGCTAGATGACTGAGACATGTCTTATCCCTAGAGAGCTCATACTCTTGGAGTTCACTATCCTGAACACATTCTAGTTTTGAATTAAAATCATAACTCTAAAAGTGATATAATTTATCATGTGTTTTCCCCACAGAGTGAACTATTTATTTTCACTTCCTCTTTGTAGGATACGGACAGTAGAAAGTTTCTCTTACAAACCCTGCTCTGTCTTTTGTTTTTCTCTGACCAGGAAGAAAGTATATGCTATTAGAAATTCATTAATATTTTACTAGTTCATGCAAAGTTAAGGATCCTGGGTTATATTCATTCACCTATCATCCATTTATTCAGTTACTAGCTACTTAGCAAGGCACTGGGGAGATGAAGTTTAATGGATAGCAGTAAATGTTAATTTAGTGCTTACCGATGCTAGACAGTTTGTTCTAGCACTTTAGATTGTTATCTCATTTACAGGTCCATGAGCTGTAGTATTCCCATTTAACAGATATGAAAACTGAGGCACAAAGAGGTTAAGCAACATACCTAAGGTTACATGGCTAGAAAGTGGTAGAGCTGGGATCCAGCTGCAGGCAGACTGATGTTAGGGCCCTTTTTTAAGTACTGTGCTAAGTCACTTCTCTGCAGTATTGAGTGTTGGTTAAGATACAACCCCAGTCCTTAAGAAACTTTAATCTGACATATAGAGTGAATTGTGATTAGAAATTATATCACACTGAATTTCTTTACTTGAAAGAAATGAGGATGTAGATATTTAATGTCTTAGAACAAAGGGGCTTGAAACTTACAGAATCATTTTGACTTACTTGCCCATGGTACTCTGTTTAATTGGCTGATTCAAGAGAGTAATTCAGTCCACTGTTCTTTTCACTTCAACATACTGAATTTTGTTTATTAATGATAAAAAATACCATGTGCTGAAAATAAAGTAACTTTTGGATAAAGATCATAAAAAGTAAATATATAATCTCTCCACCGAATTTAGGTATTAACTTGTATTCTAAAGATTATAAAAAAGAAAACCAGTTGAAATGCTAGTTATGCCTTTCCAGACTAATAACACTCTTCTTTTACTTCTTATCAGTCATCTGCCATGTACCGGACCTAGAGGATAGACAGTTTGTAAGCATTATCTCTTTCTCTGACAACTACCCTTAAAGATAGATATCGTTGTCTATGTTTAATGGATACAGATACCGAGACTCAAAAGAAGTAATTGGTTTGAAGTCATTTATCCAGTAATTGGTGATACTGGAACTCAAATTCAGATTTATCTGATTCCAAATCCAATATACTTTACTAACCTTGTGCTAAATTGTTTTCCAAGAAGTAGATTTATTTGCAAAAATGAGGTTGTTCCAGGCCTTAGATAGGAACTTTTTCCAGTTTTTTTCCTAGTTTAAATTTTTTATAAAGTATTTTGTTTCATCTTATACCCATGTCTTTTTATTTGCTTTAACTCTCTAGCTACAGAAGATAGAAAACCAGCTGAAGTTCTTACTGTTGAGGGGCAACAGTATGCTGTAGTTGGGTGAGTGACACGTTTTTCTTTATTAGTTGAGTCAAGTATTTAAAACATAGGTCTTCTAGTTACCCTTTGATGTGAACTGGAAATTTTAGATTAACAATTGTAAATCTTACAAAGAATTTTAAATAAATTTTATGGATTACTTTTTATTTTGTAGTATTCTGTATCCATTAGAGACTATACTGGCTAAATAAAAAAGGGGTTGGTTGATTTTTCTCATATAACAAGAACTTTGAGGTACATCCAAGGGTGCCACAGTGGCTGTCTGATGTACATGTATCAAGCTCTTTCTCTGTTTTTTTCCTGCAACTTTCTTGGTGTGCAATATGCAGCATATTGAGTTGTGAGCTCTGGAGTCAAACTGCTTAGGTTTGAATCTCAGCAACTCTATTATTTTGTGACTTTGGGCAAGTTACTCTGTGTGCCTCAGTTTCTTTTTTGTAAAACAAAATGTGGGAAATAGTACTTACTGTACTTAGAATTATTGTGAAACAGGTAATTCCTGTAAAGCATCTTGCACAGTTCTAGTTCACCTAACAAGAAGTTGATAGTTAGTGGTAGTTATTTCCATTACCATCATTTGCTATTAGGTCTTTTATTCTTTTACCAATAGCAGTATTTCAAATTCAGATTAACTAAGAAAAATATAAATCCCAGTGTTGTTTGTCTAGGACTGTATGCCTTTTATTAATAGATACTTAAGATAATATCTTCATATACTTTAGTAACACGTAATAATTTAGGTATTTTCATATATATGATCTCATTTGATCTCTCCAATCACACTATGAAATAGACATTTCAGGTATTATTGTTCCCTTTCTATGGTTAAGAGACTTGAAGCTTAGAAGTTTAAGTATTTAATATGAAATTACCCACATGGAGCCAGAATTAGAATAAAAATCTAGCTCCCATTATCTGTACCAGAATTCTTTTTCACTTTTCTTCTTCGTTTCTTGTCACTAAATGAGTCTTATCTGAAATATCCGTCCCCTCCAGGCAAAATGAGTGATCCTCCCCTTGTAACTGTGTGCCTCTATCATGGCTCTTTCTGCAGTGTATTAGAGTTATTTATTTGTGTATGTATCTCCTTGGTTATTATCTGAATTCCTCAAAGATGGGGATCATTTACCATTTTAATTTTTCTTGGTACCTAATAAGCACTCAATTAGTGTGAATAGAATTTATGCTTTTTCTCAACCTATATATTCTCCAAAACTCCAAAGTACAACCATTGTAAGCTAAAGCTTCCATTCCTTTCTTTTCTGGAATTCTTTTCCATTTCTGGTAGGACAAAACTTTTTTCAACCTCACTGTAATCTTAGTCCTTCGATCTAATTGTCATTTCTTTCCTTAATTACCCATTGCAATTGGCCCTCTATATCCGTGGGTTCTGCATCCCACTAACCAGCATGTAGATCCCGTGGATATGGAGGGAAGACTTTACTATGCCATTTTATATAAAGAACTAGAGCATGCATCGGTTTTGGTATTCATGGGGTATCCTGGAATCAGTCCCCTGTGGCTACTGAGGAAGGACTGTGTCTTGTTACTCTTCCCTTACTTAATGGAAATGGTCCCCTCTAGCTATCTGTCTTTCTTGCTTTTTAAGCCAAAGAGACTACTGCCAAAATGCTGAACTCTCTGGCTAAAAGGGCAGTATTGTATATTCAGTGAGAAGATTACAAAAGATAACAATGGACTCCTGCCCAGTAAAGCAGACTCTAGGATTATGCATAGAGAGTAATGTATGGTCTAATAATTTAAGCTGCTATAAAGGCTAGATACTCTCCTCCTTGAAGCACTGCTCTCTCTCTTTCAGACTTTTATAACATTATTTTACATGGATCACTCATTTCTCAGAATCTCATTGAATTTAGATGTCCTGTAATGAATGGCTCTTTCCCTCTTAATTTCAACCTTATTTAACCTCCCAGTAGTGTCTCTTTTCAGCTTGTGGCATATCTTGCTAATGAGCTGATAACTTTCTCATCTTTGGAAAACCTTTTGTGACTTACCAATAAGCTTCTTAGGAGAAGCCACAATTTCTCTTTTATCTCACTAAGAAAATCTAGACTAGGCCCTTCCTTAATTCAACATTTATGATAACCTACATAATCAGAAACACTGCTTAAACTTTTTTCAGTGTTGGCCAAGGATTTTTAAATTGGTCAAGGAATGGGATACCTGCCTTACTGAAGAGACTGACTTATTGCAAGTGTCCACAGAGAGTGATGTGCTCATAGCACAAAATTTAAGGAAGTACCCTTTCTTAGTGTCATGAAAGTGCATGCCCTGCAGTTGCACAACCTTGAAACTGAGTGCCTTCTTAATTTTACACCCTAGAGGTTTTCTGTTACCTTACCCTAGTCCCTACTTGCTCTACTTATAGGTAAAACACATCACTGAACAGTTGCCAGGATCAGTATTGATTTTTGTATGCGAAATCAGTTGGATTTTTCTTGAGTGCCTACTTGTTCATCTCTCTCTCTCTTTTTTTTGGGGGGGTAGAACTGTATTGCTGTTGATAAGAATTATCCTTGAATATTGCCAGTGTGTGGATAATATCCCATCTGTTACTACTGACATGCTCACTCGTCTATCAGACTTATTGAAGGTATGTATGATTTCATTCTTATGGAAAAATAGTTGGAAGAAGTGATACATTAGGATGTGAGTAATCTTCCAACTCAGACATTTCAAGGTCATGGTATCTTTAAGACATTAATTTTGTGACATTTGGCTGTGGTTGATTCACAACATGTTATTTGAAGGCCACCTGCTTTCTTCTCACTCAACATTTAGTGATTCCTCATTACACCCATAGAGTTGTTAATGACATTGGAGACAGGAGATGATTTGTTTGTTAGGTGCTGAACATGACTGAGGCCACTTAGGTCAAAAAACCTGGACTGGTTTCAAATGTGCATGGAAGGAATTCACTGAACTTTACAAAATTCATCTCACTAAGGTTAGAGATTTTTCTTTAAATCATTCTTTCAGAACCATTGATGTGAAGTGAAACTGTGGTCATAGTTATATTCAGCCATTTCATATTAACAGATATTTTAAACTGCTAGATAGAGAAAAGGCTTTATTTTTTTCAAATACCTAATCTAGCAATTAATTCTATCCCAAAGTTGTCATATTTTAGTCCAGAAAGATTTTGTTATCCTTTTGAAAATAGGACTATCCAATTACAATGACTGAAACAACAAGTTTTATGAATGCAAATTAAAGATTAATTTTTGAACAACTGATTTTTAGAATTTCTCAACTTTTTTCCTACCAGAATGTAAATACAATTATTGGAAAACACCCTTTTTTTCCCTGTCATTACATAAACAAACCCTAATTACTCCTACTAGAAAAATTCATTTTGTTCTTGAATAGGAGGAAAGAGGAATATGTATTACTAGAATTAACACATTGCCAGCATATAAAGTGTAGTTTTTAATAAATTGTTGGTTTTTTCTCTTCCTTCCTTTGTTAGTACTTCAATTCAAGAAGTTGCCAGTTAGTTCTTGGAGCTGGTGCACTGCAAGTTGTTGGACTAAAAACAATAACTACAAAAAATCTGGGTATGAATTCTTGCATTTAATTCACATGCTGAGGCATTTCAGTGATGTCACTATACTTAGGTTTTTATTATATGTGGTGTTTTTGTGCCTCTAACCAAAGGCTCTAAAAGTAGCAGTTCTACTTTACTTTTTTTATGTATTGCCATAATTGAAAAATAACTTCTGGAGAAATGTTGCAAGAAATTTTTAGTCTAATAAATGTAAGCTATTAGAACTTACACTACTGTTAAAAAAAATGTTAAAATATGTATTAAGTACATAAGTGTGTATGGGGTAAAAGGTATCAATGTCATGAGAATCAGTTGTTGTCTTAGCTTCTTCATGCCATTTTACCCACAACTTGAGTCCATTGGGAAAATTAGCATAATTCATTACATCATTCAGTACCAAATGATTTTCTTAAACAAAATGAAATATGTTGCTTTCTGTCACTGTGTTCTCCATTTATGTAATAAACGTGGATCTGTAGAAATTGATTTTTTACATTATTTGATAAGTAATTAAAGTCAGCTAATACCTTTTTTTCCTCCATGATATGTCCATCTCCTGGATCTTCAGCTCTTTCTTCACGCTGTTTGCAGTTAATTGTGCACTACATTCCTGTGATCCGGGCTCATTTTGAAGCTCGACTGCAACCTAAGCAATACAGTATGCTTAGGCATTTTGATCATATCACTAAGGTACCTTTTCATGTATTTTCTACTGGAGTTTCATAAATTTAACTCCTTAATTGTTAAGTATTTTAGATGTGTCCCAGGTCTTTAATGTACAATGTTATTTCTCATTATAGGACTACCATGACCACATAGCTGAAATATCAGCTAAGCTTGTAGCGATAATGGATAGCTTATTTGACAAGCTGTTATCTAAGGTAATGATTTATGGAAATTATTAAGCTTTGCTTAAAAGCATTGTGAATTTTCACAGTTAGTTCTAACAAGTCAAAATTCTTCAGGATTTAGGGAAAAACTCAAATGTTCAGATCACCCGAATAGTTGATCTTCATTTCCTAAGGGATTTGAGGATAGGGATGAGGGAAGATGATTTCAAAGATGAGAGAGACCCTTTATAGAAGTAATTTTATATTAGCTGCATTGAAAATTGTGTATCTTCTTCAAAACATATTTTAGTTTGAAAGACTGATAGAGATAGAATTGAGAAAATAAAGATCAAAGTAGGGGAAAAATTAAATTATTTGTGACAAAGTGTGTTACTTTATTTTTTTAGGCTAAAAAACAGAGCCTGAGGTGCTGGGTTATTTCCATCATAGATATTCCGTTTCAGTATTTGTTTCTTATTTGCTTCCCATTCTAAATAGGTTATTAAAAGGAGCACTGTTTTCTGAAGAATTCTTAATTACACGGGGAAAGTATCTTCAGAAAAATGTCACTTAATCAGGCCTAGTCACTTTTGCCCTATCTCTCACTCTTTACTTTCTGTAAAATATTCAGTACATGTTTTAGAGAGAAAGCAGAAATCTCATAACTTGAGAGTTTGAAGCTTTGTTTAGTTTATACTTTGGCCCCAGAACATTTTTAGAGTAATCTTATAAAGCAAGGCACTTTGATATGCTTTTCCTTCTGCTTGGATCCTTCAAATTCTGAGATGGCAAGAGCAGTAGACACATAAAAATTATAAAAAGACAAGATAAAGTGGTGCCTATTAATACACAAATCTTTGAAGGTGACAATGAGAAAGGAGTGATTAGAAAATAAGATTGCATTTGTTTAATGTTTAGTTCTCAAACATTTTGGTCATAGGACCCCCTTTACATTCTTAAAAATAATTGAAGACCCCCAAATAGCTTTTGTTTATGCAGATATAGCTATCAGTGAATACTATATTAGAAATTAAAACTAAAAAAATTTAAAACTCATCTAGAAAAATGATACTGATGAACCTGTTTGCAGGGCAATAATATAGACACAGATGTAGAGAATGGATTTGACACAGTGGGGAAAAGAGAGGGTGGGGTGAATTGAGAGTAGCATTGAAATATATACATTACCATTTGTGAAATCGATAGTTGGTAGGAAGTTGCTATATAGCAGAGGGAGCTCAGCTTGGTGCTCTGTGACGACCTGGGAAGGGTGGAACAGGGGTGTTGGGGGAGGCTCAGGAGGAAGGGGATATATGTATGTAGATGGCTGATTCACGTTGTTATATGGCAGAAATCAGCATGACATTGTGGAGAAATTATCCTCCAAATAAAAATAAAATTTTTTAAAAAAAGAATACATAAACACACTCGACTAGACTTCAGAATTACATCACACGTCACCTAAAAGTTTCCAATATTCAATCATGAGAGTCTGAAAGTTAATTACATTAATCTTACTATTACTATGAACATGGTTTTTGCCTCACATATTCCCTGAAAGAGCTTCTGACTCCCAGGAATCTCCATACTGCACTTTGAGTAACTCTGGCATAGTTAGTAGATAACATATATGCTTTATGCTTCTCCTTTAAGAAACTTAAGGAATTTACAGTTGTGTGCAGACATACCTGTTATGCCCTCTAAGTTTCTAGTTTTGTGTGGAGAAAAATTATTGTTTAGAAATTCTCCATTTTCTTCATGGTTGTGAAATACAAGCTAAATTCAAAAGCAGTTCCATTCTACCAGTTTCCTTTTTGATATATGACATTCTTCTGTGTACCAAAAATCAATGAATAATGCATGTAACTACCCTAAGAAGTTTACCATCTAACACAGCAGAGGACTTAACACCTAACAATATAGAGTAAAGTGAAAGTGAAAGTGTTAGTCATTCAGTTGAGTCCCTCTTTGCGACCCCATGAACTGCAGCCTGCCAGGCTCTTCTGTCCATGGAATTCTACAGGCAAGAATACTGGAGTGGGTTGCCATTTCCTACTTCAGGGGATCTTCCTGACCCAGGGATAGAACCCAGATCTCCTGCATTGCAGGAAGATTCTTTATCATCTGAGCCACCAGGGTGATAATATAGAGTAAGGTAAATATTAAATAGTGAGACTAATAATGAGCTGGGGAATAGAATGAAGCAAATCTAAAAAATGCTGGTGTTCTTAAAACCTTTACCTTATTCTATCAAGTCATCCAGAGTTTTTGAACAAGAATTGGAATTATGGCTAGACTTTTTCCTATAACAGTTTATTGTATTCTTTTTGGTAAAGAAAAATAAAATAATGTATGGACTTCCCATATATTTATCACCTGTATTTAACCATCATTAACATTTTTCTTTTACTGTTAAAATATTTTGTAGTTAATTTGAGGCCCTGTGACATTTCATCCCTAAGTACTTAAGAATATATTTCTAAAAACTTAGGGAGGGATACTTTTTTATATATGACTATATATCATATCTATATCAAACCAGCAAAATTAACAATAATTCCTTATTATCATCTAATACTTATTCCTATTTGAAACTTACCAATTGTCCTAAGATGTCATTTTACAATAATTTGTTTGAACAAAACTTTTGCATGATCTACATATTGCATTTGGTTATTATGCCTCTTAAGTCTTTTATAAACTTCAAACACCTCCCTCCCCATTTTGTATGTCTTTTTTTAATGTTAAGAATGTGCCTAGACATTTGCAACTTTGTGTTTTCTTTGCTGTCATCCCCACTGATGACTTTTCCTGTTCCCCTGACATGTTACATTTTCCTTGTATAGCACTCAGTCATGTCCAACTGTTTGCAACCCCATGACTCAAGTCTACCAGGCTCCTCTGTCCCGAGGGATTCTCCTGGCAAGAGTACTGGAGTGGGTTGCGATGCCCTGCTCAAGTCGCTCAATCATGTCCAACTCTTTGTGACCCCATGGACTATACAATCCATGAAATTCTCTAGGCCAGAATACAGGAGTGAGTAGCCTTTCTCTTCTCCAGGGTATCTTCCCAACCCAGAATTGAGCCCAGGTCCCCCACATTGCAAGAGGATTCTTTACCAGCTGAGCCACAAGGGAAGCCCTATATCCCTGTATATCAAGTCTATATGCCACTCCTGTTGTACTTGCTTCCGTGGGTTTCCCAGGAGTTTGGTCCAGTTTTTAATTCATTCCAAAATAGCAGAGTGTTTGATTTGGGTTAGTCTCTCAATTTTTAGCTTTTCATTTTCTTATCTGGAATTTTAATTTGGGGAAAGAGGAATAGCATAGTAATAAAATATAGGTTGATTCTAAGAAACTAAGAAGTAAGGGTACCTTTCCTTGGGCAGAATAAAACATTAACATCTGCTGATACTACTGGCTAGACTAATGTTCCAGCCACTATTAATTCATGTTGAGTTAAGTTGTGTTAGGTTAACAGAGATACACAAAAGTGAAGAAACCTTTTATCTGGTCCTCAAATAGTAAAATATCTAGTAGGATAATTATATCAGTAACTATTACAGGAGGTAGATTATATAAAGGATCATAATAAAGTAAGGAAATAATTCAGTGCTGTTGAAGCTTTTAATGTTTTGAAAGACATGGTTGTCAGTTGGGGAATGAGGTCTGGGAAAGCTTTATGGATGAGGCATGCATATAAATTTTGCTTTTCACAATTAGAGTGGGCTTCCCTGGTGGCTTGGGTGGTAAAGAATCCACTTGCTGATGCAGGAGACACAGGTTCAGTCCCTGGGTTGGGAAGATCCCCTGGAGAAGGAGACGGCAACCCATTGCAGTATTCTTGCCCAGGAAATCCCGTGGACAGAGGAGCCTGGCAGGCTACATATGGTTGCAAAAGAGTCGGACATGACTTAGCGACTAAACAACAACCATTAGAGCAGATTAAGTTGAAGCAAAGAGATACACTGAGGTAACAGTGTGAGCAGACATGTTGATTGGAATCATAAGAAGGAAGTTTAGTGTCAGGTTTTGGAGTTAGGTAGATCTAAGTTCAAATTCCATGTTTGTCATGCGTGAGCCATTGAAGAACCTTCGGCAAATTCTTAATTTATTTAGGCCTCAGTTTCTATCTCTAAATGGGGATAATAATAAAAATCTCTTAAAGATGTAGTGAGGATTTATGAGATAATATATGTGGAGCACTTTTCTTTTTATCATATCTTTGTATCTGACTAGAGCCAGTTCCAGTAAACATTGACTGCTAATGCCTTTACTGTTGTTTTTAATAATAACATGTAAGTAATTCCATATAGCTAATGTATTAGGGTGGGTAAGCCCAAGAGTAGAGTGGGAGATATTTTGGAAAGATAGTAGAGGGCTTTGACTACCAGTGGAAAGCTAAGCAGTTTAAGTCAGATTGATGGAGGTATAATTTACATTGAGTAAAATTCATCCAAGTATATAGTTTGATGGATTTTAACATGCATGGGGCAGTAGAATGACCACAATCAAGATATAGAACAATTCCATCACTGCTAAACATCCTTTAGGGTATTTTTGAAGTTAATCCTTTCCCAATACCCCAATACCATGACAACCACTGATCTAATTTTCTTCTATTTAGTTTTGCCTTTTCCAGTATGTCTTATAAATGGAATTATACAGAATTAACATCTTGTCCCAGGTTCCTTTCATTTAGCATAATGCTTTTGAAATTCATGGATGTTACAACGTGTGTTAATATCTTGTTCATTTTTATTACAAAGTAGTATTGATTGAAGTACTACTATTTGTTTATCCATTCAGCAATTGACAGATGTTTGGAATCCTCCAGTTTCTGGCTGTTATGAATAATATACATTCATGGACACATCTTCATGTGGGCATGTGTTTTCTTTTGTGTAAATACTTTGAATATATTGATGGTGGCATAGAAATGTAAAACTTTTTTTTTCTTTTCCATTTATTTTTATTAGTTGGAGGCTAATTACTTTACAATATTGTAGTGGTTTTTGCCACACACTGACATGAATCAGCCATGGATTTACA